AAAATCTTTGATTATACACACAAATATATATGATAATTGGGGAGTTTGAACCAAGACTGGATGTGTGATATTAAAGAATTAAGAAAATATCGTTGGTTTATGTATTTTGGTTTTTAAGTGGGATTTGGGTCACATTTAAAAGAGTCATTCCCATTCAGAAATACATGACAGAATTTTTCTTGATGTAGTGATAAAGAACACACTAGTATTAGGAATATAGATGGTACATAGACGTACCAACACTGACCACTGATCATGCTTGAAGCCAAGTAACAGGTGCAACTAATTCATTAAATTAGATGAAGACTACATTGTTAGTATGTTTAAATTTTTCCCTGTGTCTCCAAAATCTGAGGTTCTACCATGACAGGCAGATGGGAAAAAATATATATATATATGGTCTCTGAGAAACATTAGGAGCCATTTTAAAAAGCAATAATATAATGGTTTTATCTGCAAGCTCTGACAACACCTAGACCAGTTTCTGCCTATCTGCATGACCCCAGACTTTACTTCTCCATTTCCTGAGAAATGAAATATAATATATCTTCCCCACCTTTGTCACGAAGATTAAATGAATTCACAAGTATAAAGCACCAACTTAAAACATCATCTGGCCCATAGTAAGCAATCAAAACTATTAATTAGTAGCAGTAGTAGTAGTTGTAGTAGTAGATTACATAAAAAATAAGCTGAAACAAATATATCGAAAATAGGCTTTTAATCTCGATGAAGTTCACAAATGGCACAATTATGACACTTCCTTAAACAAATTGTAGTCATGTTCTTAGACAAGGCACAGCATTGCCATCACCATGTTTCCCAGAGGCTGCAAGAGGCAGTAATTTCACGTCTGCTTAAGGTTGACAGAGCTGCCATGATTACCAAGATGGCTCTCAATGAACCAGTGGGAGATGCCATCACATTTATTGGACGTAGAATAAAAATGAAGCACAATAAATATGGAATTAGCTTAGAATGCATTCAGTTTCATTTCTTTCAAGTGACAAAGGTGCTTTTTTCAATATCTATTAGGATGCAAACATGGGTATCTCCAATGGGGCCTTCTCACCAAGTTGTTGTCAACAGGAATTAATATAAGTGGTGAGTTCAGCTTCATGGTAACCTGGGATGAGGGGAAAAAATGGAAGAGAAAGAAAGGAAAAGGAAAGAAAAGGAAGATGAGAAAGGGATGAAAAGGAAGATATAAAAACATAGAAGGACAAGAAGTGAATAATCACAAGTATCACTGAAGAGAACACTCACAGAAGTACTTTTTTACTAAGTAGCATTTATGAATTATGGATAAGCAATGTAAACAGGCTTGTAGGGCAAATGAGAAATCAAGCCAACTGTGACCATAAATATTGGTAGTAATATGACGACCTCGCTCTGGTCTGCATCTGTGGACAGTGAGCAGGGTGGATTTCTTTCTGATAGGCTCACTGGGGAGGAGTGGCCCAGGTTAAGTTTTGTAGGACTCTGTCTTTCTGAATCCAGCAAGCATTCTCTTCATTTCTCTTCTCAGAAAAAAAAGACACCGTCTTTGAAGCCTATCCTAGCATTGATGTTCTAGAAGGAAGTCAACTACTGCATAAGGAAGAACGGAATCAGACAGGAGACCCTGAGAACTTACCAGGGTCAGCAGGTTTCAAAATGTGGATTTTAACTTTTAAAACCCTCCCATCCCGTCCCATCGGAGTAGGTAGTCACCTGTTTTCTGGGTCCACTTAGCTGCTCAGGCCTGAAGGTCCCTGCGGCGCCGGCCAAAGGCTTTGGAGCCTACATTGGTGGGCACGAAGTTGTCCTTCACCACACCCCCTGATCTGCCCAGCAAGCCTGCCAGCCGGTGGGTTACACAGGTAGCGGTGTTGCAGGCTCTCTTCTGGGCAGTGACGCTGATGTGCAAGATGGAGAAAGAGGAGAAGGCCTGTCTATCAGAAGTCAGAAGAGGAACCTTCCCCCTGGGTCCATCATAAAGAGAATTGCAGCCCTTTCAACACACCACTTAACAATAAGTGTTTCTTCTAAGTGCAATTATCAAAGCTGTTAGGGGAAATGGCTGGCAGCCTTTGCTAGGAGCTCTGCCCAAAACCCATCACCAAAACAACATTTCAAACACTGCATTTATCATTCAAGAAGGAATAGGTGGCAAGGCCCAGTCCCACACCAAGACACACAAGGGGTATGAAGAAATCGTGCCCCGACCATAAACAGCAGCAAAATAATTTTCCATATGAAAATGGAATCCCCCTAAAGTCTCACCTGGAAGAAGCTCAGAGAATAGGGCTTGCAGCTTCTCCCAGAAGTCCTTACCTGCTCTTAGCACACTGTTCTTGGTGCTTGAGCTAGGTCACAGACAACACCCACCCACCAGCCCTATGTCCAGCTGCCTACTTCTGAGCATAGGCACTAGATACTCACACGTCTTGGGTGTGGACCAGAGCAAAGGCCACCACAGCTCATGCCCTTTTAGAAAAATAGATTCATTCATCAAATGGTGAAGCATGATGGATGTACTTATTTTAGTACATACAGAAGCAGAAATTGGAAACCTTTGCCATGAAATCCTCTGATGTCTCTATCTCTTACCCCGGTCTCATCTGAATTCTGCTTTCTCCTTTTCCATCCTTAGGTCCTCAACATTCTCAATCACAAGCAAAGCTACCAATACCACATGCATCTAGTTCATAACGGAAGCAAGAAAGGAAATCAGAAAGCATCAGAGAGCTCAGTTGGCATCCTGAGGCACCCCAAAGCGAAGTAGCAGTCCCTCTGCAAGATGCTGGCTATATCTCCTTTCCTGCCAGGTGTTTCAGGCCCAAAGTCAATGCCAGAAAAGATGTGATTCATGCCAGTATGTGCCCAGCACACAGGTACTCAGGTTACCACACCACTTAGACCTGGGGCTGTACAGGGCTGCAGGGAAAAGAAGTACCAGACAGTACTATGCACAGGATCTGCCGCAGTAGGCAGTCAGCAGGTTAGACCAGGCTGGAACTCTTTAGGTGAGGGAGGAGGTGCATGCAGGAGGGCAGCTCACACATCTTCCATCCGGAAGGCTCAGAGGTGCCTGGGCCATGGCAGTGATAAGGAAGGGTGATCTTCCCTGGCATCCCACATGCAGATCAGTCCTTCATGCTTGACAGGGGCCTCTCAGGGTGGATCCAGGTTGACTCGTGCCTCTACCTGGGCAGTGCTGCGGCCAGACCAGGGCTGGCCTCTCTCCCAGGCTCAGGGTACTCAGGGAGCTGGGGCAGGTGAAGGGAGCTCTCCCTGGACCTGTGACAACATCCCCACCTCCCTATCTTATACACTGCCCTACCTATCCCCAACCCCCTGCAAAGGCTTTCTTTTAGCCTTGCAAGTGTGAAATTAAAATCTTGTGCAAGTGAAAACTAACTGGTGAAGTTCCTAAAATTTCCTGAGATATGGAGTCCATCCTCTGGCTTCACATTTACCACTAATTCATCCAGTGCTGTGATGTCTCCCCAGACAAGTTGCAAGACCAACTTCCAGAGTGATCCCACACCTCCTCCTTTCCTTTTCCAAAAGCTTTCAGAAAGCTGTCTTTTTAATGTGTCTAACCACAGCGCCTCCAGCTTCACTAGGACCTCTGTCTTGCACAAAAGCTCCAAGTCATGGTGAATAAGGACATCCTTCTGGCAGCCTCTTGGAAACGCTTTTTCCTGGCTCTCTGAGGTTGGTTCTCCTGGGCAAGTCAAGGTCAGGTGGAGCCTTACCTGGAGCCCACTGTCTCCTGTTCCTGCTCCTGCTCCAGCTCACTGGCCTTCATCTGCACGTAGTCCTGCACCAGTGCTGCCAGCAGGAGGCGCGCTTCCTTTTCACTGAGCCCGGCCAGGTCTGGGCTACTCTCTAAGTCTGGCCTGGTAGGGGAAAACAAACTGAGTGTGGGCTCTAAGACACTGGTTCCTTCTCCCCAGGGGAAGCAGCCAGGCTTTCTGGTTCCTGCTTCATCCCCTGAGGATGTGGCTGCCCTAACTCCCAGAGGACAGGGCAAGAGGCCAGTGTCCTGAGGACTTCGGTTCACCAAGAGCTACACGGGACTCCACAGGCAAAACAGATCTGTCTGACCCGGGAGGCAGTGGGAGAGAAGTCACGCCTGGCTTCTGGCTGTCTCACCTGAAAGGCGCCGCCCGGAGGCTGCCGGTCTGGCACAGGACCAAGATGCTGAAAGCCAGAAAGGAGGAGAATTTCCGGAAGCCCATGACGCTTCTCTGTAAAGGGACAATGACGTTATCACTGCATCAGGACCACAGACCTAGCTTCTAATCCTGCCTCCGCCTCAACTGCCCTGCGATTCCGGCAAGCCGCTTGACCTTCGGGTCCCTCTGCACCTTCCTTTGCCAGAAGGGCTATGGCGAAACTCAAGGCATACTGTAGTGTAAGTCTCGGTGGAGCAGAAACAGGCGTGGGGAAGCAGGAGGGCGCAGTCTGCGGTGGGACCTAGAGAAGCCGCTCCCGCCCAGGCACACACACCCCACCTTTCGCCCTGACCTGTGCAGAAACTTAGCGCTGACCCGCCCAGCTGTGGCTTGCTCCCTCCTTCCGTCCGCCTGCTCACTGAGAAACGTAGGACTCCCTTTGCCTCTGCCAACGGCGGCGCCAGAGCATAGGCGGGAGGATGCTGGAACGGTAGGTAGGAAAGGAGCGCTAACCTCAAACCCACGACTTGGATTTGGAGACATTTTTAAATTGCCAGTTGTTCAGGACTACAGGTGCACGGTTTAGCCCGCACTTCTAGGTGAGACCGCTGTCGTAGGACGCTTGCGGGCGGGAGACGCCTCAGAGGAAAGCCCGGAGCCCCACAGTCCCGGGAACCAAACGCGGACTGCGCAGAGCACCCCCGGGCCGACGTAGGCAGGACTCTGGGCACCCAGCCGCCCCAAGGCAGGTGTCACGGACACGCCCACCTGCTCGCCCAGCTCCAGGGCCCTCGCGCCCCGGAGGAGAAAATACCGGGAGAGTCCCTGACCGCCCTCGCCCCAGCCTGGGAGAGGAGAGAGCTGGGACCCCTGGCGTGCAGGGAGGTGGAAATGACCGCTGAGGGATGGAAGAGAAGAAGCTTACCCGAGGGAACAGAATGGGAAGTTCCCCACTGGCGACACGAATTTCGAGCGAGCGCGAGCTCAGGCCCCCGCGAAGAGCACGACTCCTGCCGCGACTTCCTCCCCAAGCCCCAAGCTCTTATTCCAGCCGTACCCGCAGGGGGTGGGGGGGTCTGGACGGCTCCGCCAATCCAAAGTGGCCAAGACCAACCAATCAGAGCACCGACCGATCTCATTACGTCATAGCTCGGGCTGCCCAACAAGTTCTCCAGAGAAGGGACCTTCCCTCCTGGTCGTCCTTTGCCTTGAGGTTATGGCCGGGGAGCTGAAGGGCCTGAAAGAGCCGGTACTTCCACAGTGAGGCGGCAGATTGGGGGGAGTGTGACGTCATCTACCAGGAGCTGTAGGACGCCTCTGACTTCCGGGACGCTTCTCCCGCTGCCCGCCCCTAGGGGACCCCAGGAAGACGGAACAGTAGTCCAGGGTTCTAAAGGGAACTCCGCTGAAACAGGCCGGAGAGACCGGACGGAAAGGAGCCTTGAACGTTCTCTTAGCGCCTCCGGGCTTGCTCCTGGGATATCCCGCCCCCTGCAGCGCGGAAGGCGGTTTACACTGCTGCCCCGCGCCCCTGTTTGACGAGGTTGCTGGGCTGGGACGATCTGGGTCCAGGCCCTGCCGCTCTCCACCCCTCCTCCACCCCTTCTTCCTCTCCCTCTCTTTCTCCTGAACCTCCTAAGAGCTAGTGCGCAAGGGTCCTGCACCCACCCGCGGAGGGGAAAGTGCGCCGCCGCCCAGGGGGCAGCCTGCGGGCCTAGACGTCCTCTGGGGCGGCGCTCGCACTCCGCAGGGGTGCGCACCCCGCTCTCGCAAACCCGGACTCGACGCTCCGGCAGCCTCGAGAGAGCTGCGCACCTTCGCCTGCACCGCTTCCCACAAAAGACGCGAGCACACTAATCCAATGCAACCTGGCCAAGACCAGGAAGCGGCCCGGTGTTTCTGCTTTCAGAAACAGGCACGTTCTACACGGACAGGGAACACACTGTTCCCCAAACACGCACAACTGCAAACGTCCATCCATCCACACACGCGAATTCGGCATCTCCCCTTTTTCTTGGAGTCGATGCTGCCTCCTCTCCCCGCGCGGGGTGCGGGGGAAAGATTCCCATTCTGGCTAAAGGGATTTGGAGGAGAAGAAAGAGGGGAGCCCCCCCTCGATTCCATGGGCTTCAGACCTGCCCTGTGCCTTTGACAGCTGCACCCCAAATGTACCCCAGGCGCTCCTGTGCCCCAGCCGGGCGCTTAGAAAGCGCTGCAGTTGGGATGCCCGAGGTTCGTGCTGTTTCTGCCAGTCAGAAACGAGCTCAGTGATGTCTGTCTAGTCCTCTGGGTCATTTTCCACAAGTTGGCCACTAGCACCGGAGCCAGTGAACGCCCAAAAATTCCTGACCGCCACCTCGAGTGACTCTCTTCCTCCCGGCTGTAAACGGAAGCCCTGAGTGCACCCAGGCAGGCTGAGCAGAGGCGACCTTTACTCGAGGACCAGTCATCCCACTAAAGCCTGCAAATAGCAGAGGGAGGTCTGTGTCCATCTTCCCGATTCTGGCCCAGGAGAGGGGCTGCTGACTGGAAAGGCAAAGTTGGGAGACGTTACGGCCTGAGGCCTCCGTCCTCGGCGTGCGCGTGTACACACACACGCACGCACCCACGCACGCCTCTTCCTGATCACTGCCCCAGACTTGGAGATCTAGCAGAGCTGGTAGCCCAGTAGCTCCTGGCAGGCCATTTATCCACACAGCTTTAGGCCGTGGCCGGGAGAAAGGAGCGCGCGGAAGCCAAGATCACGAAAGCCCCAGGAGCCAACTCCCCACCAGGAGCCACCCCCACTTGCAGACGCTTCCCAGGCAGCTGGGAGCGAAGGAGGGGTCCTAATTGGTGTTTGGCCCCAAAACTTTAACTTGAGAGAGACGCTGGAAAGCCAAGCTGGACCGAGCTTCAAGACGGGTCTGCCACACTAGGACTTTGCTGAAGTGTTGGGTCAAGTGCTATCCTGGCCCCCGGAGGAAGGATCCCAGGCTGCACCCCTGCTCTACGGAAGCCTCTTTGGCCGGCAACACCTTACAGAACTATTGTTTGGGTTGGAGAGGTGGCAGTTTCTACAAGGGCCATCAAGTATACCCAGTTGGCTATTTCCTTGGGTGCCCCATAGGACAGGCTGTTTTAGCTCTAAATATCCATAATTAATCTATCTAGTCTTTCCCTGCCGGGTCTGCATGGTGCATGGTAGGTACACAACAAATGTTCATTCGGTGAAGGTAGGAAGATCAAGGAGCAGAATACACAGTTCAAATGGATTCGTTGTCCTGAAAATTCAGTAAATTGCAGCCAAGTTGCATTGGGATGTAGACCCAGTTTAGATCCAGTAAATTGGAAGACACATCGTTGATCCGAATGAGCACCTTTGTTTATTCAGTAAAAGGGATCTGTGTCCTGGGATAGATTTTCTGGAATCATTGTGAGAAGCGCTGAAGGGTTCTCTGGAGTCCACCAGAGGGACTGAAGAAAAAACGCTTCGGCCTATCTTTGTATTGTATTAATGGGTGAACAGGAAGAAAATTCAATAAGACAAATTTTCTTTCTAAATTGAGAAAATTGAATCTTGGTTTCCCTGGAACTCCTCTGAGCTTCAAGGCATCTCTAATCAACCTAGCTAGCACACAGATTTAGAGAGAATAGTTTCCTAGGAATATCTGTGGCATGTTAATCATCTCTTAAACATTCTGATGTTCATCTTAAACAGTTTATATCATTACATTTAGATTTTGAAGATAGTGTTAAAGTTTTAGAGAGAAACTGGCCCGTGTATCATAGCTTTTGAAGTTTATTTTTACTTATTGTAATGTTCTCAACAAATTTCCCAGAAGAAACGTTCCATAGGAGAAAGTTTCATTCATTCAACATGTATTTACTGAAGACCTACTATGTGCTTACCAGGCATTGTTTTGGATCACTAGTAATTCACAGAAAACAAAACAAAACAAAAGAAAGAAAAGAAAACTCTGCTCTCCTGGTGCTTCCTAATTATCACCTCTTCTCCCAAAATATCCTAATATCCAAAATATTCCTACCTTAGTCATATCCTCTCATCTATTTCTTTTTCAAATGTGTAGGGTTTTCACTATGAACACCATATACATGTTATTCTTAGCTGAGCCATATAAAGTACTTTGATTATATTTCCATGCATATGTGTGTTCTTTTGAGCTAGTATTCCCTCTTTTCTTTGTCCAGTTTTCTTTCTGCCTATCATCTATTTATCCATTTTCTTGGATCTTCCACGTCCCTCACTAATTAGTTCCTAACTTTGGTGAAACATATGCACCATTACATTATGAACAGCTTTCCTAGGGAGAATTTTAGATCAGAAATCATCATCACCCTGAATATAGAAAGTATTTCCCACTTCACTCGTTTGTTCATTCATTTGTTCTTCCTTTGACTTTCATTGCTTTTGTTATAGAAACTCTAGTTCTCCTCACCAAATTTCATGAAGATGTTCCTTGTTGGGGATGGTTTTTATTTATTGTTTCTGAGGCCTGAGGAAGTATATAAAATCTGAAATTTCATGTCCTGCAGTGCAGGGAAATCTTGCTCTGTTTCTTCAATGATTTTATGTTCTCATTTTGTTGATATTCAACTTTCTGAGAATTTTTTCCAAAGTTAGCTTTTTAAAATTATCTCATCATATGTTTAATTTTCAAGAGCTTTTATCTTATTCTCTGAATTTTACTCTTTGTTTTATGTTTTTATTTGGTGAGTACAGCATCTTCTAGCTCTAAGGCTATTTCACACAGCTTATTTGTTCCGTCCTTTTCACACTAGAAGCCATCTTCACATTTCTCATTCTTGTTGGCTGCTGATTTATATCTAAGAAGGCAGCGGTAAAGTGCTAATCAGAAGGAGGCAGAGTGCGCACATACAGGCCTGAATATAGAGTGATCAGAAAGGAAGAAACTTCGTCATTTATCGGGAAGAAACCTACTAAACTAACAGCAGCTGTAAGTCTTTTATTTAGGCTTCTTGCTCATCCTGTGTCCTCCAGTTGCCTGCCTGGAGCAGCAGGATAGAGGTTGAAATGGAATATAAACTGATGAGTGAGGGAGGAAGCTAAAAGTCCACTGTCCAGTTTTCTATCGTGGTAATCCACCAAGATTTGGGGGGATGCAGTTGGGGGGCACACAGTTTGGGGGACCCTGTAGAAATTAGAAGAAAACACTGAGTCTAATCATTCACCTTTTAAAGGCTTAAAATCACTCATTTCAGCCCATCCTATATCTCTGCCAACAGAGGGAACCAATCACTCAAAGACCTGAGCTTTTCTAAGGTCTTTCTTTCTTGATGTCTTTCCTCCTAAACTAGAGTTTGTACTAGAAACATGCATCTTTACACTGCCTTCCCTTCTGCCAAACCAGATAAGAAGACTGTCCTAGGGGTGGAAAATACAGTCTTCACAGAGCCCTCATATTAGACTCAGTCCCTAAGAACTCTTTCTCATCTGATTGCCACTGTCCATTGCAAGCCACCTGTCTGAGGCTGCTCTCCCTGAGCCAAGAGAAACAAAGATGCCAACATCAAAACTGCAGAAGTTCCTTCTAGAGAATATTTTTAGAATTGTCTGTGCCTGCCAAAGAATGAGAAAAGCATGGTGGCCCAGACCCAAGATAGCTACTCTGAGAAGTGGACAGTGTCAGTGAAGTGACATCAGGAATTACTCGGGTTAGGTTTCCTCTGAAATGATTAAAATCCTCTCTGGCTCAGACTCACAAGCATCAAGCTGACTCTCCCTGTCTGAGAGCATTTTTCCATGCTGCAAAGGAGGAAGAAATACACATCCTTAAAAGTTCCTTGTAAGGATAAATTAGAGTAAAATCATCTTTCTGTGCTCTCAAACAATGAGAGTTTCTGCTACAGTAAATTTTCAGATAACTGAAATGTACTTTAAATGGAAAACACACCTTCTTAAAGGACAATGTGGTTGAAAGCTCTCTTAAAATGCATTACACTCTCCTTCTCAGGATGACTCAGAGCCATCCGCCATAGAACACAGAATGTCAGTCACAGTTCTGTGTCCTCAGTAAGGACCTGAGTCAGC